GCACTCTGCAACACCCAAAACTTGAATAGTACTGAGTTCCTTCTGTTAAGTAGGAGCTTACCTTCAATAGTGGTGATAATTCAAGTATTTAAATAGCCTTTCTTCTCATCCTTTGCCCTTAGGGTTGGGCGGTACTATCCTGGCTCCTGTGGCACACTGCCCTACAACTATAGCTATTTTGGCAATTAAATAAGTTATTCTACGTAAAGTATTCATAATAGTGCCAAACACATAAACACTATATAGTTTTTGTTGCTGGTAGTATCATTAGTTACTAGTATTAAGAAAACATCACATGAAAACAGGAAATTAGCATAGTTTCAGAGTATCTCAAAAATTGAGGGGCATTTCACAAAATAACTGACTAGTACTTATAAAATGTCAAGGTTATTGAAAGACAAAGAAAGATTGAGAGACTCTTACACATTAGAAAAAAACAGAGGAGATAAGTAGAGAAATAGGCCCTGAAATGACAGAAATGATGGAGCTAGCAGGCAACGGCATTTAAGCAGCTATTGTAACTACAATGAAGTACTCAAAGGAAAACATAAACATAATAAGGAAAGAAATGGGAAGACATAAAAAAGGACCAAATGCAATACCTAAAACTGAAAATTACAATTTTGAAAACAAAAAAAGTTCATTAACTGAGATTAATAGAAGATAAAATACTACAAAACCAAATAACCCAAGTGTCCATTGACAGATGAATGGATAAAGATGTGGTATAAATATACGGGGACAATGGAATACTAGTCAGCCATAAAAAGAGGACGAGCTATTGCCATTTGCAACAACATTGATGAATCTTGAGGGTATTATGCTAAGTGAAACAAATCAGATGGAAAAGGACAAAAAAAATGTATGATTTCACTCATGTGAAATAGCAAACAAGAATAGCAAACGAATTAACAAAACAAGCAAGAATAAACTCATTGATACTGACAATACAATGGTGGTTACCAGAGGGCAAGGAGGCTGGGGGGAGGGTGAATTGGGTAAAGAGGTCAAATATATGGTGATGGAAGGAAACTAGACTTTTGCTGGTGAATGCATGATACAGTATACAGATATTGAAGTATAATGTACATCTAAAATTTATATCATGTTATTAACCACTGTTACCTCAATAAATTTAATAAAAAAAACAAGAAAAAATAAGGCATCAATGAAAAAAATAAACTTGAAAATATAGCAAGAGAAACTATCTAAACTGGAATATTAAAAAAAAAAAAAAGGACAGTCAGTGAAAGGACCTGTGAGTTTAGTGTACATGTAATTGGAGTTCCAGAAGCAGAGGGGGTAAGGAAAAAAGTGGGGAAAAGAACAAGAAAATGTTTAAAGAAATACTGACCAAAATTTCCCCAAATTTGATGAAAATTATAAACTCAAAGATTCAAGAAGCTCGGGCACCCCAGTCTGGACCCCCTCTCATTTTGAGAGCTGTTTCTTTCTGCTCTAATAAAACTATCCCCTGCTGTAAACTTAAAAAAAAAAAGATTCAAGAAGCTCAATTAATCCAAAACTAGATAAACACAAAGAAAACCACATCAACAAATCAACCAAATCCACCAAATCAACTTGCTGGAAATCAATATAAAGAAAAAACCTTAAGTCAGGGAGGGAAGGGGACAATTATATAAAGTAGAAGAAATATAAGAATTATCATAGATGTCTAATCAGAAATTATGCAAACCAGAAGACAATGATTCTTTAAAAGGGTCAAAGAAATTAATAAGTCGTTAACTGGACTAATCAAGAAAACAAAAACATAAATGACCACTATCAGGTATAAAAGAGGGAACATCACTACAGATCCACAGATATTAAAAGGATAATAAAAATGTGAGGAACAACTTACGCCAATAAGTTTGACAACCTAGATGAAAGAGACACATTTATTGACAGACATAAATTACTAAAACTGGCACAAGAAAAAGGAGAAAATTAGAACAGCTTTATATGTATTATAAAAATTGAATTAAGAATTAAAATCTTTCCCAGAAAGAAAATTCTAGGCTGAAATGGCTTCACTGGTGAATTCTGTCCAACATAAAAGGAATAAACAACACTAATTTTACACAAACTCAGAAAATAAGTGATAAGGGAATATTTCCCAAGTCATTTTATAAGGCCAGTCTTACTCTGATACCAAAACTAGACAAAATCATTACAAGTAAGGAAAACTACACCAATATCCCTCATGAACCAAGATTGGATAATCCTTAACAAAATATTAGGAAATAAAACACAATATTACATATGAAAAGAATAATACACTGTGATCAAGTAGGGTTTATCTCAGGATTGTAAAGTTAGTTTAACATTCAAAATTCAATCATTATACTGCACATAATAAAAAATATTCCTTTATAAAAAGAAACCTTGGCTTCTTGGGAAAAAAAAACACAGCAATTCCAGGGCTTGGCCAGGGAATGTACAAGAGGTTGGAAGAGCCTGTCGTGGGAGAAGGGAGTATTAAAGAGTGATAAAAACATACCACAAAGATACAGGAACCAGTTTGAAGGGGCTCCCACTGGTGCTTCTGGGGCAATATAAGCATCAAAATAAATAATAACAACATAATATAACCCACTCAATAAAAATCTTCAAGTCCATACTGATATAAATTCATAAATGAATAAATAAGTGAAGAAGGGAAAGCTCTTCCTTAGAGAAAAATGTCAAGTAAATATAAAAGAAATAAATGTAGAAGAAATAATGGAGTTAGAAATCATCAGTAGATTCTAAAATGTGGGTAAATGTTTGATGAAGAATTATTCTTCCAGGTTAAAGATTATAACAACAACAAAAAGAGAAAGCTCTGTGCTAGATGATTTTACCACTTATATTCTTTTAAATTTTCCAGAAATAGATTATTCTTATGCAATATTATTCCTTCCAGAGCACTGGGAAAGGTGGAAAGCTAGAATAGTTCTGACACTAAAACCTAACAGCAATATTACTTTTGAATATAGATGCAAAAAATCCTAAATTAAAGACATGAAAACTGGATTTTACAGTGGCTAAACCAGACTACTATGCTATCCTATATAAGTAGGAACTCAAGTATAGTTTAATAGTGATAAATATTCCATGGTCATAGGTGCCAAAGAGCTATTTCATACAACCCACACCAATTACTAATCTAGATTTTAAAGGAACTATATGTGTAAAAGGAAATATTAAAAATACTAAAAAATTGATATTTTATATTAACAACATTAACAACAGTTAGTGTCAGAATTAATGCTAAGTACAATAAAATCACAAATTAGACAAATATGACTACTGTTATTAGTCTACAACACTATTCTAGATATTCTTGCCATGGTAATATGATATAAAAGATATAAAAGAGGTATAGCTATATGAAGAAATTGCACACTTTTTTTTCAGAGTAGGATTATGTACTTATTATGTATTGAAAACCCAATATGAATAACATGAAAGAATTTAGATTAATAGTTTAGTAAATTGGTTATTTAAAAGATAAATATAGGAAAATGTAATACTTTACCACAAAATAGCCAGTTAAAAGACCTAACTGAAAAAAAAGATTTCAATTACAGCAACAAAAACACCTGGAGATACTCCTAAAATGAAGTATCTAGAACCTATGTGAAGAATCAAATATTAGTGAAAGGTATGATTAGGATTTTAGTAAAGAGAGAGAAATACTATATTCCTAATGAGAACACTGAATTTTGTAACGATGTCTGTTTTTCCCAAAATTTTATGTATCTAATAAAATCTCAATAAAAATCCCATTGGAACTTACTCTTAGAAATTGACAAAATCCTAAAGATCTAATGGAAAAATAAACAGGTGAGAAAAAAATTAAATTAGAGCTTTTCTCACAGCATATTAAAGTATAACTTTCCTATTTTATTTAAGTAATTAAATATAAAACAAAAACTAACTGTTAAAAAATTAGAAGAAAACAAGTGACTAGTTAACCTCCCAGTAAAGGGAAACATCTTTCTAGGTATAAAATCTATGTAAACTTTATGTATATGTCTACATAAAAACCAAAAAAAAAAAAAATCTGTATGACAAAAATCATACACAAAATTAAAGGCAAATTTAAAACAAACCAAGAAAAAAATTACAATGGACATAGTGGACAAAAATTAATGTCTTTAAATTACAGAATACTTTTAGAGTCAATTAGAAAAATACACCTACTCTAACAGTTTAAGAGAGGACATAAACAGATAATTTTCTCTAAGATGACAAATGATCAATAAATGTGAAAAAATGTCAATATCATTATTAATCGGAAATGTGAATTAAAACTACAATAATGCCTTTTCCCACTTATTTGCATAGATAATATTCAAAGCTAAGAAGGAAGCACTGAATAAGTACTCACACCACCATTAATTAGAGTGCAAGATACTATAATCTTTCTGTGAAATATATTCCCACAAATATATATGAAAAACTTAATTACAAATCAGTAAGCCCACATCTAAAAATGCATTCTAGGGAAACAATAGTAGATGTGGACAAATATTTATATATAATCTGATTCTGTAAACAGTGACTATTTGGAAACAATTTAAATATCCAAAATAGGGCCATGGTTACTAAATAATCAAATATCCAAATAATTAAAAATTACTGTCATTAAAAAACATATTTATGAAAAATACTTTAATAGCTTGGGAAAATGCTCACAAAATGATGTCCACAAAAAAAGTTATTAAATTATAATTTAAAAAATTATTATTGTAAGAAAATGCACCATATTATCTCTGGGTAATGAAAAGTTGGGAGAATATAATTTTTGTTTTATACTTTTCTCTATTTTCTACAAAGAACATGCATTCATAAAACAGAAAATACCACTAAATAAAAGCCAAAAACTAAAGGCTTTTAAAAAGTAGTAGTTTATCAGATAGTTTTGCTATCTGCTTCTTCTCAATATACTGAAAACTGTATTGCTATAGCTATCATGTGGCGAAGTTGCATAAAATAACAGGCATACACTCAAATATTGTCATATGTCTGTTTATTGAGGAAATTGTGGTGCTAGAGGTTAATTCTATTCACTTGATTACTTTTCATTGTGTCAAAGAAGACTCCAAAGTCCACAAGTCATTTAGTTACACAATTACTTTCCCATATTTTGTTTAGGAACAAAAAATCAAATACAAAGAAATGTTCAAATGAATCTGAAAACTGCTTCTTTTTTTTTTTTATTTCAAAAGGTGGTGATTAAGGGTCAGGAAGTACAGTGACATGGAGGAAGACCAAAAATGGAACATGTGAAAGGAAAATATTTTTGCTAGATTTCATTTTCAGTTTCAATTTTTTCCATTTTTTTTAGTTTTTACACCAAAAAAAAACTCAATACTTTTCATTCCACTCTTGTCAACTTTAGCCAAAGACTTCTGAGCTGCAGTCATTTTGCTATTTTTCTGTTAATGAAAATAAGAGAGAAAAGTTGTTACGAATGCAATGTTTACACATCATACATGCAAATCAAACCAGACCATGCATGTCTCAAGGTTTATTAAGGGAAGTAAACATGTGTGGCTAACATGCTTCATAAGGGAGTGATTATTAAAAAAAGTTCTGATTTCTCTTCAGAATTCAGACCCACGAGACAAAATGTGTTAAAAGAGGCAGGAGACAAACCGCTGCCTTCTAAAGAGTGGAATGGTCCAACCAATGGTTTACTTTAAGGGGAATAATTCTGGAGGGTGCATTAAGTGTAATAACACAAACAATGGAACTGACACAGGCAGCAATTGTCAGAGGAGGAATTACAGCCTTGTATTATTACATGATGAATAATTCACACCAATTTACCATCTGATTTTACTCAGAGTCTTTATGGGAAACCAAGGACAACACTATTATCTTCAAAAGATAACCTGTATTGCAAAGCATCTGGACCAGCTAGCTAGCTGTCCCATTTTCCCTCCAACAAAGAAATATTTTCCAAAAAGCTGACTCCAAGTATCTCTGCCTTGTAAATTTTATCTCTTCCCGGTCACTTTTTTTTTTTGTTTGTTTGTTTTTGTGCCGTGTCATAGCAGAAGGTAAATAGCAGCCGATTTTACTTGGATGCACCACAACTTATTGAGCAGAAGTATAAATAATGGGACTCAGCAAAGAAAGAAATCAGCTGCCTCCCTGGGAACTGAGACAAAATCATTGCCAAAGTATCTTTTAAGGGCACAGTTTATGATCCCTGAAATTTTGCTTCTCACATTCTGTCACTTATAATTTAGTGGGCTTATTTTTTGACTGGATAGTGAAAAGTGACAGTCTCTTTGAGATAAGTAATCCCCTGCATTTAACAGACATCTGGTCCAACCCCTTATCTCACTGGTGCTATGCCCAGGGGGATACAATGGGTAGTTAGAAGGGTGGGGCAGAAATAGTTCTCACAGAGAAACTAAAAATGTCCCTGCTTACAGAAAGCATGGAGATAACCAGCTATTTAGCCATATGTAAATTGGATTATCCTCTAATATCACATGCCTAATAAATAACATATAAAGAGTAAAATATATATATATATATATATATATATATATAATCTTTATAAACTTTAAGGGGAGTAAATGTTGTGAAAAAAATATATATATATAATCTTTATAAACTTTAAGGGGAGTAAATGTTGTGAAAATCTAGGTGGAAATTGACTCATCTTGGGATGGGCAAGGTCTTTCTAAGCATAAAAATACTGAGAAAACCATAAAAATGATTTCTCTACTTAATCCTCAGAAAAACTTCAAGTGGTTAAAAATCAAATGAACACAAATCTAAACTCAAATTGGAAAATTATTTGTACCCTATATGTCCTGAAAAGTGTTAACAGCCTTAATTTAGAATGAGCTCTTACAAATCAACAAGGAAAACATTACTATCTCAATATAAAAACAGGCAAGAGACATGAACTGACAATTTGCAAAAATGCAAATGGACAATAAGCATTTGGAAAAACAACTAACCATTCTAGTTAAAGAAATGTAGCCTGATTGCATAGGCAAAAATTTTCAAGAATAAACATAATACTCAATGTCAAGAATGCAAGATGAATACTCATCAGGAATAATGATTGAGAGTACAAATTTCTGCTAAATTTTTGGAAAGCATTTTACAAGGTGTGATAAAAAATACAATGAATGTTTAAATAAAAAAAATTATTACAGTAAAAGACGCATTACCATTAATCCCACTCAAAACGCTCCCCCTCGCTTCGAACACACTTATCCCATCATCCTTGCCCACTTTCTGAAGCAGTTCTGGAAATCCTCTTTTGTGAGTGTCTTTAGTTGCACTGTTGTGGCTGCCTTGATGTCCTGAATCGATTCAAAATGTTTATCTTTCATGGTCATTTTGACTTTGGGGAAGAGCCAGAAGTCACACAGTGCCAGATCTGGTGAATAAGGTGGATAAGACACACTATAATGTTTTTATTTGACAGAAACTGCCATACCAGAAGCAACGTGTGACAGGGAGTGTTGTTATGATGGAGGATGCAGTAAAGACACTCATGAAAGAGGAATTCCAGAACTGCTTCAGAAAGTGGCAAGAACTGTGATAAGTGTGTTCGAAGTGAGGGGGAGTATTTTGAGGGGGATTAATAGCAATGTGTCTTTTACTGTAATAACTTCTTTTAAATTTAAACATTCACCATATTTTTTTATCACAACTCATATATGTATATATCTCAATAATCATGGAAAGAGCTCGTTTTTTAAGCTGTTATTACTTAGTTATAAATTGTGTCAATGAAAAAATCAGACATGCAGAATATAAATAAGAATATGAATCACTTCATAAAAACAAAAAATAAAAAAAGAAGTGATATGTGTCCAAAAATAGGGGAATGATTAAATAAATTATATTTCATATGGTGTAATAAAATAACACACATGATTGAATATAATGAAAAGTTAATACATTTTCAAAGATTACTTAATGATGTGAACATTTTCACAATCGTCAGAAATGTAAAGGGCAGAACCCAAAACTATACATACAGAGGGTGCCAAAAAAATGTATACACATTTTTAAGAAAGGAAAACTATATTAAAATTGTAATACTCAACATATACCAATAACAAAAGATGAATACAAGTTACGTATGACTTCTGCCAATTACAAGAGGTGCTCAAAGTGGTTACCATCAGCGTCCAGACAATTCTGATTATGGCGAACTGCTGCTTGAGCAACGTTGACCAAAATGTCCACTTGTATATATATTTTTGGCACCTCCAGTATATATAAAACAATGCCAATTTAAAAAGCTACACATAGGGCCAGCTGAGTGGCTCAGTTGGTTAAGAGCTCGCTCAAGAGTTTGAGCTCTGAGCAACAGCGGTTCGAGTCCCGGCCCAAGCTGAGCAGCCGCTGAGCTGCCAACAGGTGGCAGGATGGCTCAGCTAAAAAAAAAACCAAAAACTACACATATATTTATAATGCATGTATAAGATGAAAGTTAGTAAGAAATGTTATAAAAACATATGCAGGGGTGATTATTGAATGGTGGGGTTCTTAATTTTTGTCATCATCATAAATTCTGGGAAGCTTCTTGGCAGTAATTGACAAAACATTACCTATGGCAGGCAACTCAGGCCCTCTGCCCCTCCCTATCACTGAATACAGAGCAAAGTATAGGCACATTCTTGCTAAGTATATTGCCTTTCTTTGATTCCTAAAAAGTCTTCCTTGCTTGACATTTTCATTGTCATTCACAATTTTCAATTGATGATTAAGTCAGAAACACAAGCTAATAATTCTTCATGGTTAAAATTGTAAGATCACAATCAAGCAGGCACTCGCTCCTGGATGTCCCCATGCAGTATCACCCACTGAGTCCAAGAGTATCCACTACACGGGAACACACGTACCTTTTCAGTCTTCAAATCTTTGGTATTAAACTTAGTGTAATCTTCTTTTGCTTCTATGGGCTCATCTGATAACTTTACTTTCTGCAATGTTAGAGCAGCGAAGTGTCAAACGTCACCTTGACACATCAATCCATTTTAAAAGAATCAAAATGTGCAACTTGGACCCACATTGAGGCCAAATGAGACTAAGTGACCCTGCAAAGGGCTCACTTTTTACAAGCTCTTTTACATTCTGCTGATTATCTAGGGAACTAAGTAAGCCACAGAGCCCTTCTGATGAGCAATTCTGGTGATGGGCGGATAGAATTAGGCAAGTCCCAGCCCCAGCCTCTAGGCAGTCTAGCAGTACCGATGACACACTTTACATGTACCAGGGACGGTGACTGCTGACTTTCCAGGAAAGTCTAAGGGGTGAATGCAGGCACAGATGCAAAGATGGAAATTTCCTTTAAGGGGGCCAGGTGTCCAGCTGGAACCCCCACTTCATTCACCTCCTGGGCTGGTGTCATGTCCACTTAGGAATATAGCTCATTACCAGCTTTATATAGCTTCATGTTCTTAACTTCCTTTCAAGTCAATGATCTCATTTTATCTACACACCAACAACCTTGCAAAGCAAGCAGCCAGCAGGAGAAGGAAGCACAGAGATTAAATGAACAGCCCAAGGCTACTAATAGAGGACTTGGGGTGAAATCTCTGTTTTTGTACAAGTGCTCTTACCATTAGGCCCAATGCAACTAAGTCACCCTTTACTTTGCCTTTTCATCTTTCACACAACATTTTGCACTAATGAACATGAGAATCCTGTCAAGAGCTAGACTGTAGCCTTGATATTGACATTATAGAAGACATTGTGTCACATTTATTAGGTAAAAGGCACATAGCAGGGCAGATAAGTTTTGATGTTTAACATGGAGCACTGACTATACAGTGATCCCAACTCAGAATTTTACACATCTTCAAGCTCTTTGTGGACAAGACCCAACTTAGATCCACTCTAGAAAATACAGATTTGTTCCCAGCTTCACTCTTCACACCCCAGCTTTTGCTAAATAAAGAACTGGTCGAGTTAGTGCTAAAAGATGCCACAGCACATGTTGAACCTAGGATAAAACAACATGTCTTGAAAAGCTTCACTGCAGCAAATAGAGGGGCATCACATAATGGGGCAAAACCTTCTCTCGGCCACACAACAATCTCTAGCAAATAAATCTTCAAAAGGAAAAGACTAGCTTATCATGTATGAACTACCTACCAGCAAAGTGAATGTACATGTACAAGCAACTTTCTTAAGGATACATGTTTCTACTAAAACTAAGACAGTAAAGGGTGTTTGGGTGATGCATACTTTTACCAGGAAAAGTATCTGCAACCAGGAGGCAACTCAGAGAATAATGATGAAGGCATAAAAGCGTTATATCACAAAAAGCTTAACGTTATAAGGATGTTTGCTTTCCTCCTCTGTGGCAAAATGTTCAATACACCTGTCGTTATAAACATTTGGGCATGTTCACTTTTCACAGATAAGTCAAATAAAAAAGAGTTCATAGCAAGAGCTTAAGATGAAAGGTGTTTCCTTATAAGTATCAATCATTTAATAAGAGGAATGACTTGTTCAGGTGCTTTAACGTCTCACTATCAAACAAGACACCACTTGTAAGTACTTATAAAAAAGAAAATGGTTGTGGTAGCCTTTGCACATAACTAGTTTTTGTTATTCTCAGCACACTGTGAATATGTTGGAAAAAAACATAATTGTTAGATTTACTTAGATTTTTGTTATTTGAAAGACTGAATCACTATAGATTTGGGGGAATGTTTCAAAAGAAATAGAAAAGTATCTCAGAAAGACAGTAACAAAGGGTATGACAAGATGGGCATAGTCCAGGAAAGAGAAGAGCAAATGGCAGAGTACCACAGGAATTAATGCTAGGACGGATTGGTCCTATGCTCACAAATGATTTGCAGGAAGAAACTCAGGAGCATCTTCAAATCCACCGACTGCATTCATCTCTGCTAACTGACAGTGATAAATTCAAAGGATGGAAGGTGGTGAGGGTTGGAAGCTGAGTTTCAACATAAGCATCATACGATAGTGAGAAAATAATGCAAAACATATTAAGGATGACAAGCTCTGTGCTATCGATTATAACACAGATACAAAGAAACCTAATAGCCACTGGAACGTATTTCCTAAAAACAATCAACTATATTACTATAAAAATCAATCATATCCTGGACACAGACAGGAAAGCTAGCAGAAGACATTATCCTACTCTTGTTTAAACTATGGTAATCACCCCGTTTACCATGTGCATACTGTTTGCAATGTGTACACTGAAGCCCCAAGAAGATACTATAGAGTAAGAGAGAGACCTCGAAAAGCAACTAAAATAATCCAGGAGGTAAGACTGAGATTTAGAAGAAACAAGATGCCGAGATCTAAATCAGGACTTGACAAACGCTGTCCATGGGCCAGATCTACTGGCCGCCTGCTTTTATAACTAAAGTTCAACTGGAACGCAGTCGCGCTGGGTCGCTTACGAATTTTTTGTGGCTGTCTCTGCACTACAACTGCAGAGCTGAGTAGCTACGAGAGAAACCATCTGCTTCACGAAGCCTAAAATATTTACTACATGGCCTTTACAGAGTAAGTTTGCTGACTCCTGTTCTAAATCGTAAATGAAGAAATCATAAACATCTTAAATTTTGGAAATTAAAATAAGAAAACAGAAAATGGGGTCCAAGAATAATAAACTTATGAAACGTATTACCCTAAACAGAATTAAAGGCTTTTAAAACCTTCAAGAAGCCATTCATGAATGATCTCTAAGTTACCAAGGAAGAATTTGGGAGAAAGAAATATGCTTAGTTTTTGGAGGGAGAGAAATAAGAAAGAACCAAATACGCCTATCCTCTCAGTTACAGTCTGACAATTATTTCTGTGACCCCCTAGGGCCACTGTCAGAGACAGCAAACTACTGGGCTGGAAGAAGTGTGGATCTGACCTGAGATCTTATAGCAACTGACTTCTGCCCTGCACTATTCCTCCAGAGAGTAAAAGATGAACTGCTTTTGACAATCAGCTGAAAATGGCCCACAACTCCCACTGATGCACTGTAAATTTTCTATCCTTTTCTAAAAGTCAAAGTAAGAAATGTTTTTGGAGTGACCACCACCTCCAAACAGGACATGATACAAAAAAATCCTGAGCACGTTGGCCGCCTTGAAGGTGGAGAAAAGGCAAGCTGTTTAACATCCACAACGTGCCCACTTCACATTCTTAAGGCATCCGCTGTTTTCCTGGCAGGAGCAATGACCTCACTGACAAGATGGCCCAGGTGTGGGTTCTGTCCCTGAGCTCAGGCCTGGTCAGTGCCTCCAGGTGTAACTTAGGACTGGCTTCTCTGCTCTCCCACTCTGGGAGACAGACACAAGCTGCAGTCCCCGGAGCAGGGGAGCTGTGGGTGGTGGTTTGAGAACATCTGGAGATGAAAAGGCTTTCCACTAACAGATGAAGGATTACACACAAATTGCAGTGATCACTGCAAGTACAGAAAAAAGAAGTGGGGTCATCCTTGCTCAAAGGGTCCTTTGTGTTACAAAAATCATGCTCTGTGTACCTTTGTGCCAGTGACAATTAGATTGGGCAAAATAAGTTATAGTTACATCTAGAGTATTCCTGGTGATTAATAAAATTAATTATAGGATCTGGCTAATTCAAGAATATTTAATTAAACATATATCTATAATATTTTTATATAGGTATCTGGCTAAACTAACTCTTATTGGGTTTTGACAACACTTTATTATTCAGGTAAAATCTATAAAAATAAAAAATATTTATGGAGAGCCCAGAACAATCTTTATTCCACAAGACATCACCCAATGCAAGGTGGATTTAGTATGCTTTAAAATATACTAGAACAAACTAAACTGATGTGATAAAAGCATGACATTTTCCCCCAAGATACCTTAGTCACAGCTTCTTACCTTTGATGGAGGCTTTGGCGATGAAGCTGAAGGTTCTGGAAGCCTAAGGAGTAAAAAATAAGAATCACAATCATGGTTTTCATAGACAGGCAAACAGAAAGGCTGGGCCTACTTGACATTTATTTATTGGGTTGTCGGAAAATTCATGACGCATTTTTGCAACGAAAAACAGAAAAAATACGTCATGGCTTTTGTGACAACCCAATAGTAAGTCCTACCTTCTCTGGTAGCTTCACCACCATGTATCTTACTGCACAATCACCACAGTGTAAAGAAAGAAATTTCTCTAAATAAATAAACTTTCATTTCACTACTTAACTCCCTGTATTGGAATTGTCTGAACTTAAAAGTAAAATTAGAACTCATTTGTTGAAATGGAATTGCTTTTCTTTAGCCACTACAAATTTGCATTTTGGCATTGTAGTATTTTTTTCATAAATGATCAATATAGTATATATTGGGCTGTCGGAAAAGTCATGACACATTTTTGCAATGAAAAACAGAAAAAATACATCATGACTTTTCCGACAACCCAATACTTAAAAGTTAAAATTATTTTAACTGTTGACAAAAGCCACACAAAATTTATCTTTCTCTCACTAAAAATAAGTTTAATTGACATATCTTTCTCTCCAAATCTTTAATAAAAACTTAAAAATTTCAGTGGAAGGAATCTAGGGGAAAAAAATGGAGTACAAATACATAAGGTCTCTAACTAGATAAGCAGCGATTAAAAACTCCAGGGAGATATTAAACAGAAGGATATGGTTACCAATTTAAAGCAGGCTTTCAACACACTTTAACTACTAATTGCTTTTTAAAGTAGGACCTATGCAATCTACTAAAAACAGCAAGTACATCTATTAAAAAGTTATTTTATCTTCATGTATCAGAGAATAAAGCTATTATAAGGATCAGGCAAGCTATTAAATCATCACACTCATAAAATCTTAACAGTAACTAAAATCTAGAAAAAACATTTTTTTTTCAGCCTAAGGTAAAGTCTTTTTTATTATATCAAAGATCTTTATGAAGGAAGAAAAACAAATCAAGTCATTCTTTTTTTTTTTTTTTGGCCTTAAAACAGCAGACATTTATTTTCTCATAGTTCCGGAGGCTAGAAGACCAAAATGAAGGTTTTGGCAGGGCCGTGCTTCCTCAGAAGGCTCTAGGAAAGAATCCTTCCTTGACGTTTCCAGCTTCTGGTGGTTACCAGGAATCCTCAGCAGTCCTTGCCTTATGGTGTCATAACTCTAATCTCTGCCTGCATTGTCCCCTGGCCTTCTTCCCTACCTGTGTCTCTGTACACATTTCTCTTTTTATGTTTACATTTATTTATTTATTTTTTATTGTTAGTTTCAGGTGTACAGAATAATGCAATAGTGATCCTTTTCACCCTTCACACAGAAACAGCCCCTCTCCCCCATCTACTGCCCTCCCACCCCCGATATCATGCTTATCTATTACAATTCCATTGACTCCATTCCCACCCTCTACTCCACGTCCTGTGACTATATGTATATATAATTATAGTTGACATACAATGTTATTCAACATCAGCTTCAGAAATACAGTGCGGTGGTCAGACCTCTACACCAACTATGAAGTGGTCTCCGTAACAAGACACAAGTAATTCTTAAACCTCTCTTCTGCCCTCAAAGATCAGACTGTTTTTCCTTGAGTTCCAAGTGCTGGGCACAATAAAGGTTCTTAGTGAACATTTAATGACAGTGAAAATGGTACAAAGCCTTTAAATGTAATTTGCAAAAATATTCTAAATGCCATCTACTCTTTCTTTTCCACCTTTATTTCTATTAAAATGACCACAAAGAACCAAATTTGTTAAGTCTATCTGGAGAGAAAATTTTAACATAGTTTACCATCTAAAGTCACACCAACCAATAATTCCAGTCTGGACACAAGTTCCCACAATCACTATGCACTAAATGAATTCATTTGAATCAATGAATGTCCATTAAAAATCAGCTTCAAATCACAGAGGCTATGACATAACTCAAGAATAACTTGTCAGAAAGAGTGATGTGATAAGCCATAAAGAAACCATACTGCTGGAAAATCTGGAAGCAAAAAGGTACTTCTTAATTATGACTGAAGGTGAACAATACTTACTTTAAATGTTTAGATAAGTCATCACTTAATTCTTTAGGAATGTAATCAGATATCAGACCATGGGCATAACGAATATAATCCTCTGAAAGAAATAGAATAGAGAATAAAACAAAAAAATTAGTAATAATTATGGTAGTTTTAAAGTCAAATTGACCAGAGTTCAAATTCTGGCTCTGTTTGGCTTTAGAGACTCACTTAAGCTCCTAGACCGTTTCCTCATTTGTAAAATGGGGATGCTAATATCTATCTGTTAGAGTAGTGGGGTGATATGATAGATAAGATAGCATATAAGATGATATCAAAGATAAGATAATACAAGTACAACACAGTAGATGCCCACTAAATGACAGTTAAAACAAAAATTCAGAGTTGTTTTTTTAGTTGAGGCCCTTGAATACAAATAAAATTTAAAAATAGGCTGTAACAATATGAAATATTCATGTCTTTTTAAAAGACTAATCGTTTCTAGGTCTGTTTCAATACAGAATAAATCTAATTATAAAACAGCAATGTATGCTCATTTAAGAGAAATAATATGTCTATTCAGTACTTGCTATATAAGAGTCCTGAACATTATATATACTTCCAAACTAATAAAATGCCCTAAAAAATGTAAAAAGACTAAACTCAGCGGAGTGTATAATCATTAATTCCAAAGCATCTGGATCCTCAGTACTAAAATGTGTATTCATTAAATCTAGTTACATAAGACAATAAAATCTGTTTTAAAGCCCTGTTCCTTAGTTCAGTGTTTTATGTAGAAGACTGGGGGATAATCAAACTCAATCATAAGATGGGATAATCACATGGGGATATAAACTATCAAAAGCAATATCCCAGGTTTGTTGCTAGGATAGTCATTCGATTCTTTTTTTTCTTTCTCTTTTGCCTTCAAGTTAAGAAAAGAATTTGCCCCAGTATTAGTTAAAAAGTGACTGCTGCCTGGACCACCTGATCTCAAAAACTCTTCAGTTAAAAGACTTTTACTGCCAATGTAGAACTGAAAGTTATCACCCAACTCTTCTCAAAATGTGCTCATGGCTCTGTGCTAGTAATTATCCAGTGAGTCATGAATACACAAAATGATTGTAATAATGCCAACATATCATTCGTTTCCTTCTTCTGGTAACATATCAAACTAAAGATCTACAAAAGGAACTAGCATAAAGAGTGTAAAGCTTATTTTATGGCTGGAACCTAAATGACAATATAGCCAAACCCACACCCTTATATTTAGAAATTGGTAAAAATGTTGAACTTGGAGAAGACCTGGCCTACTAGCCAGGATGAGTGGACCTTGGAGAAGTCATCTACTTTGCTGAGATCACAGTTTTTCATTTTAAAAATGAGATCTGTCTAAATAACCTCTAAAATCCCTTCTACTTAAAAAAAATCTATGTTTTTATCTATCCACCCACCCATCTGTCCACCCGTCCGTCTGTCCATCCATCCATCCACCATCCAACTCAATTCCCTCTCATCTTTTGTGAAAGCCTACCAAAGACTCCCACAGCTGGTAAACTCAGCATGGCGACGGAGCTGTCCACCACTCACAGAATGGCTGGAGCCAGGTATCATCTGCCTGTGTGAGGTGTTTAAGATATATTTCTGCAGATCAAAGACTGTGTCTACCACCATCAATCACAAAGCAGACCACTGTTCCTAGTTTTTATTTTTTTAATGATTAAAGCGAGATGTTTCAGAATTGTATACCTAGAACAGGGGACCACTGAATTGGAGTTTAAAGTCAGACCTACCCTACCATTTGAGAATGTTAACTGCATTATACTACACTGGAAAAAGCAAAAGAATGTACCTTAGTAACCTAAAAGAACAAAAAATTTCCAAGTGAATCAATTTTCATCTAAAATTGAAATATTGAGACCTACAGTAGGACATTCACTTCTTGAGAGAAGGATGCAAACAGATGGCAGCTCTCTGGGCACCCTGTGCCTCACAAACAGTACAAGAAGGTTGAGTGTGGGCTCAAAGGTCAGACCAGCTCCATTAGGAGCTCAGCTTTACCACTTACTAGTGTTGCAACTTTGGCCACAGCCTCAAGAATCTCATTGTTAAGTGAGACTTACTGGGGTAAGATGAGATAATGTGTGTATACTGGCAACCTAGTAAAAGGCTTGGCACACGATACACCCTCCATCAATGAAAGCCAGCACTGTGAGGGTTGTTATTATTAGTGCGAAATAAATATTTGCTGAATGAATGATTTAAGCATCAATTAGTGACCCAATAGTGATCTATGGTAAAAGTATTACTTGGTTCTGATATAAAATGCACACTTGCCACAAGATCTATAAGTACACACTGGCAAGAATGTGAAGCTTCCAAGATAACAAGATTTTAAAATCATTTAGATAGGCATTTATATGTAAGCAACTTACTCCAGACAAAAATCGTTTCCAGTGAAACAATTTACTTACCTTCCTTGTCACTGGAAACCTGGTGACCGGAGAAATATGCACTTGACTGTACCCGGGCACCAACATTTATGTGATTGGTTTTTAATGCTTCCACAGTCTGATTTACCTATGAAGTAACCAAAAGGGAAATATTAGGGTATTTTGAACTAATTTTAGAAATCCACAACTTCCCAGATGGTCCTCAATCCATTTAAGATTCAGGAAGAAGTATTTCTTCAGCTGATGTCAGAAGATGAGACACATTTGGGGAAAGGTTGAGCAGCAGCTACAGCATTTCGGGAGGATTTTAATGCATGGACTCCCTACGGGCTACACAAAAGGAAAGCACTGACTCTGGAATCAGGCTGCTTGGGTTTGCTCTGTGACCATGGACTAGTTGCTTAACCTCTCTGTAAAATGGGGATAAAAACAGTATCAAACTCATAGGATTATTATGAGCCTTATAAATGAGTTAATATATGTAAAGCCCTTAGAATAGAAGCTGGCACAAAGTTTATATATAGTAATTTTTTAAATAAAATAAATAATGTAAATTTCCCACTTCCTAGGAATTTAAGGAAACAAAATAAATATAAACTTTGCTATTCAGGTCACTATCATTTGCTAAGAGCAAAAATTAAATGCCACGATTCTGTTCAGCACTTAATACTCATTCTTCACCTAGACTACCAAGGCAAATGAAAAGTGAAACATGGGGGCACTTAATAATCTTTTCACTACTCTGTACAGTAGGCGCCTGATTAATTCTACAAGGTTCATTTCCATGTTCCCATGCTCCTAATGTTCCCAGTAACATATGACACACAAACACGTTCTTCACAAGATGGAAGACAGAAGATAGAAGATGGAAGAGAAATCCTAGGAATCAGTACTGTAACTGCTGGTATCCACTGACTTGCAAAAACTTTGTCAGCAATAGTTCTGCTCTAATGAGATTCTTAATCAATGTGAAAGTATACTATACTACATCCTTAGACCAATGGCTTTCAAAGTAATTTTTTTTTTTTTTTAGCCACAACCCAGAGTAAGGAATACACACCAACCCAATAACTCAAACACACATATAAATATGTTTCATAGAGCCAGGCTTAATACTTGCTCTTACTCTGTTAAATTTTAATACATTCTCTTCTATTCTATCCTATCCCATTGTATTCCACTCCATTCCAAGAAAAATACTGGTGTGAATTACTAAATCGATTTGAAAACCCTGCCCCAGACCTCATATGAGGTCTAATTCTTTGGATTACTAAGGTACAGGGTGTGCCTGGAAGATGACCCCTCATCGGCATCCAGACACAGAGAGGGACACACTTCCTCTAAGCCTGAATCCAGTCTGCCCCAGGCCCCTGCCTGGCTGCATGAGCAACATCAACCTGACACACCTGCAGGACCAACAGTAGCACTGCACGTCAGACCTGGTATTGTCTGGCTTGGAAGACTCAATTCTACACCAACAAAGGCCAAGAACTTTCATTCAGTGCTGAGGATCATAGGAAAATGGGGATACAGGTCAAAGGAAAACATCAAGCTAACTCCAGAGATACACAAGTTAGGGAGGATGAAAAGCAAAAGATTTCTTCTCATCTTGGATATCTTTATCCAGTTTTCCTCTCTTAGTTGGAAATACAAGAGTCTTTGGATTAAGATTTACCATATTCTCTAAAGATTTTTAAAAAGGAGCACTGAATTTTTTCTGCCATAGGCACTAGAGAAGTACTATACCTTTTTTTCCAGCCACTTTAATGTCTTCTCTTTGCTGTACTTGTAATATTTCTTTTTGCCTATTTCTGGATTAAATTAAAAGAAAAAAAAGACTGAGCATAGTGGGTTAAACAAAAAGAAAACTCATAAGGTTATATCATATACAAGATAATTTAAAAATATTTCATAGTTTATATTCTTGAAAAACTCAATTTACAAACCCAAGAGCATACTTGAGACATTAAAAAAATTCCAAAACAGAATTTGGGTACCTTAGGTTTCATCCAACCACTAAATGAGTGGGAATTTAAGAATATCATCAAATTACACTAACAAATCTGTAGAAAAGGTAATTTTTAAAACAGAAAATTAACTTTCTAAGCAAACTTCATTTTTCTGAATAATTTCTGGTTTGCCTCAATGTTTTCAATGAAAGGCTTTTTTTCTAAAAAATGGAAATCCCTCAAAATACAATTGAAATTAAATGCAGATGCCTGTGAACTTCATTCCAGACCTCCCCACCCCCTCCAAAAAAAAATCTTGTTAACCAATCAGTACTGTCCTGGTGAGATTAAGAGGAAGAAGAAAATATATATCTCTCTTTCACTGTATTACAATATAAACATTGCTATTTCAGGGGAATTTAGATTTACGATAGGCTCAAACTGGCCCTTTTACAGGGATAAAAGTTTCACATCTTATAAATTATATTTCCTGTCCACAGTCCACCCAGCGTTATCTTGTATGTTGTCAATGAACCATTATTTCCTCGGTAACACTTCATTCATAGGGTTTCCTGGTCTCTGTGCAATCAGCGGAGGCAGCACTTCCACTCTCAGCCTCCTGCCTCCACAGGAGTTATCCTGTGACCACTGGAAATCCTAAAGCCAAATGAGTGTGGCTCTGTGGGAGCCATCCTAGAGTTAGACAGAATGGTGTTTTCTCGTTCTCTCGGTAATTGTGGTGGGAAATGGAAACTGCTTATTTGGCAATCATTTTCTGCAGCCTGTTAAACAGCTTGAGTTGCACTGAAAGGCTTGTATGGGGGAGGAGCTGGCAGGTCCCTGGCCCTAGCTCCTGGATGTTCCTAGCTTCTGGCCCTAGCTCCAGGTCCCATTTTAGCTTCTGGTTGTCAACATTGGGGGCAACAGGAGGCAGGATGGAACTCTGCACCCATCTCCTGAGGACATGTTACTGGAATAACAAAAAGAGAATGCATCCTGTCAGAAGTCTGGGAACTCCAAGGTGCAAGGTGTGCTACCCTGAAGCCAGGATTGCCTGGGCCAACGGCCTGCTGTTAACCAACGCAGAGGAGACTTCCGTCAGAGGCAATGTCCCACTCTACATTCATTAGGGCAATTATAAAGCAGGCAACAATCACCCAATACATGTATACTGCTGAATGGACTTTAGAAGTGCCGTTCATTGCCTGAGACAAATAACCTCCAAAAAAGCTCTGGGCTCAGGGCTCTCCTAAGAAGTCCTACCTTGATGCTACTACTCACTTCCCTCTTGCTTCTACCTCCAGATTCCCTGAAAGACCATTCTACAACCTGCCAGTTTCCTTCCTCTCTCCCATGCCCTAAGGCCCCTGCAGGCTACTCCTTTCACTCTTGAAAACACTCTTTCAGAAAATGCAGAGACCGCAGGCCCTGAGCCATACTTCATGGGCCCACGCAGTGCACAATGTCATCTTGGGAATTCACCTATTAAATGAGATGACCCATATAAAACCGATAGGACAACACCTGGCACATAACAAAACTTACTTAATGTTAGCTAACAATAAATCAGAACTGAAAACCTGTTACTGATAATAGCATCAGAAACTAATTTACATCCAGGCCTGTGCTACATTCCTTAAACACATTTTTACACGGAGTGCTCAGAATGAATCTCCAGCGAAAACCACTATTTGTCCCCATCGTAAAGGGCCGGGTTTGAGAGAGGTACAGTCAATTGCCCAAAGTCACTGAGCTATAAGCAGGAGCATCGGGATTCTTTCTCAAGCTGACTGGAAAGCTGTGGATCTGATGTTCAGTTTACCAAGATCAATGAGCTCTTCACCCACCTCAGTACTTCTGACCGTGATTTGTGGGAAAAACCTCTCCGCCATGGTCCTATAAAACCTTTCTCTTGGTTTCTCTACATCTCTGATGACTTTTCCTTTGATTCTTTTCTAGCTCCACTTCCTCCTTTGAGGCCAACTGTACCTTTCTCCTGGGTGACTTCATCCTGTCTAACAAGACCAAATAAAATAAACCCAACAAGGAAGCCCACCGCCCTGAGCTAAGTAAGGCTGTGTGCCTAAAGCCAAACTGACCACCTTCCTCCCAAACCACCTTCCTGGACACCCAGGCTCAAATCTTGGAGCCATTACTCATTCCCACCTTGCATCATTGGATTCCACGGGAGATGGGAAAAAGCCAACAATATCTTGTAGGGGACAATGGGGGAGGAAAAAGCAAACAAACAAAAAACTGTCACAAATCAGGAGGCTTAGCTTCTTGTGCTGATCAGTAACTACATTTAAAAAAAATCAATTTTATTTAGTAACTGTTCATGATTAATACACCCATTTTAAGTGCCCAATTTGAGGAACATAGACAAATGCATACAGTCATGTAACTATCACCCCAAAAAGTTCCCTTGAGCCCTTCTGCTGTCAGTTCTGCCATTCCTACCCAGACCTCACATGACCGCTGATCCGCTATCATTATAGATTCGTTCTTACTTTATTCTGGAATCATGAGGTACTTCTTCGTGACCACCATTTTTTGCTCAACATAATTTCTGTGCGATTATTCCATTTTGTTGCAGCTAGCAATAGTTCCTTCCTTTGTATTATGGAGTATGTATCCATAGTATGGATAGCCCACATATGGTTTACCCACTCACCTACTAAAAGACATTTAGGTTGTTGCTAGCTTTTGGCTATTTCAAAAAAGTTGCTATGAAATCAAAGGGTGCTCTGAACATTCTCGCATGAGTCTGTGCACAGCAGAAGTTTATGTTTTCATAAGTCTTGGGTAAATATCTAGGAGCAGAATTACTGAGTCGTAAGAAATCACCAGTTATACCATTTTATGTTTCCACTAGCCAGGTAGGGGAGTTCCAGTTGTTCCACAACTTACGGTCTTTCTTGTTTTAGCCACTCTGGTGGATATTAATATTTCCTTGTGGTTTTAATTTACATTTCCCCAGTGACTAATGGTATTGAACATTTTTTCATGTGCCTATTGGGTATTCATAAATCTTTCCTGAAGTGTCTGTTCAAACTGTTTGCTGATTTTTTACTGGGCTGTACATCACCTTATTATTGTATTAAAAGAGTTCTTTGTGCATTTGAGATACATATATGCCACGTAAACAGTTTCTTCCAACTACGGCTTATCTTCTTTTTTTCATAATGGTGCCTTTCAAAAAACAAAAGCTATTAATTTTGATGAAATGTAATTCATAATTTTTTTTTTATGGCTAGTGGTTTTTGTGCCCTAAGAAAGTTTTGCCTATCTCCAAGATCACAAAGGTTTTCTTCTAGAAGTTTAATAGTTTTCATTTTTGCATCTAAGTTAGTGATCCATTTTGAGTTAATTTTTCTGTATGACTGTGAGGTGAGGGGTCAGTGTTGTTTTCATATGGAGATTTGATTTTTCCAGGTCATTTGTTGAAAAGACTATTCTTTCTCCCACTGAATTATCTTGAAAAACATCAATTGACTCTTTAAGTGTGAGTGTACTTCTGGATTCTCAATAATTAAATCTATAGATCAACTTGGAGAGAATGGACATCTTAATAATATTGATTCTTCTAATTCACGAACATTGTATATCTTTCCATTTACTTAATTCTTTAATTTCTCTCAGCAATATTTTATAACGTTCCGTGTACTGGTTTTGTATATACTGTGTTACATTTATCCCTGGAACTTCATGACTTTTGTTGATATTATGAATGGTATGTTTTTATTCCATTGTCCTTTAAATCACTGCTAATATACTGAAATACAATTGATTTTTGTATATTGACCTTGTATCCTGAGACCTTGTTTATTAGTTCTAGTGATTTTTTTTTGTAGATTCTTTTGAGCTTTTTATATACATGACCATACTTTTTTGAGTAGTTTCACTATTTACTTTCCAATCTGTACACCTTTTATCTTTTCCTTGTTTCATTGAAACTGCTAGGACTTCCATTACAATGGTGAATAAAAGTGGTGAGAGTGGACATCCTCATCTTGTACCTAATCTTAGGACAGAAGTCTTTAACAATGAAGTATGATGTTAGCTTAGGTTTGTCATAGATACCCTTTACCAGGCGGAGGAAGTTCCCTTCTTTTGTAATTTGCTGAGAATTTATATTATGACTGAATTTTGTCAAATGCTTTTCTGCATCGATTGAGGTGATCATACAGGTTTTCTTTTGTAACGTGTAAATATGATGAATTACACTGATTGATTGTCTAATGTTGTCTTTGCATTCCTGTGATAAACCCCACTTGGTTATAACGCATTATCCTTTTTATATATCTGATTCGCTAATATTTGTTTAAAAATGTTCAGTCTATTATAAAGGATATTGGTCTAGTTTTCTTTTTGTAATAATTTTGATTTTGGTATTGGGGTAATTCTGGCTTCACAAAATCAGTTGGGAAATATTCCTTCTTCATCTAATTTCTGAAAGAGTTTGAGAAAGTATCATTATTTTTTTGAATATTATTTCGTCCTTAAAGTATGGCAGAACTCACAAGTGAAGCCAGTTGGGTCTGGAGTTTTTTCTTAGTAAGTTTTTTTAATTATAAGTTTACTTTTAATTAAACATTCCCTGGACAAGATCACAAGAAATACCCAGTATGAATATTTCACAATGCTACACAAGGACCAAGAGCATAAAGTAAGTACTGCTTAACTTTAAAATTTACAAATTTTTATAAGCAAGGAGATTTAAAATACTCACGAAGGCCACAGATTACCCAAAGTTATGAAAAAATACCATAACATGTTTGTTCATGTCCTAAATTTAATATTTGCAAGAGTTAGGGAGTTAGATAATATGCACACATGCTGGAAAGGTTTCTTTCCCTAAT